AGTTAGACATGGATCAGATAGGTGCTGCTTTGCATGCTTTGTATTCTGACGCTTCTAGTGTTGCTGGATCTTATTACCCTGTGTACTCTAGCCTTGGTGTAGCACCATTGTGTAGCTTAGCCTCCCCTGCTGCGTCAGGCGTAGGACTGCCTAGTTTGCCTAGCCTAGTCTTTGCACCGGCTCCGTTCCCGGCCTCCGCCGATGCTTCGCTGTCCTTCACTCTCGACTCCGGTGCTTCTGCCTGCTTCTTCCGCGACCGCTCCGTGCTCACGCCACTTGCTACGCCTGCTGTTGTCTCTCTCGCTGACCCCTCTGCGGGTCCTGTCGTCGCTCGCAGTTCTACATCCCTTCCCTGTCCAGCAGTTCCCTCGGGCTCCCTTACAGGTCTCCACGTTCCCTCGTTCTCGAGGAACCTGGTTGGTGTCGGCTGTCTCCAGGACCTCGGCGTCACCACCACGTTCCCCGGGCACGAGCGGTTCGCTGTCTGTTCTGAGTCTGTCTCAGGTTCCCTTCTTGCGACGTTCCCTCGGGACCCGGTGTCCGGTCTGTTCACCCTAGACACCGCTTTCCCCCCGGTTGGTGCGTCCTCCCAGGTCGCTGCAGCTTGCTCGTGTCGGTCCCTCACTCACCCGTCCCTTCTCTGGCACCACCGCCTAGGTCACCCTGCACTCCCACGTCTGCGTCACATGTCCCAGCACGGTCTTGTCTTAGGTCTCTCTGCTTCGCTCCCTGCCCTTCCTCCCTTGACTGCGCCGTCGTGCACGCCTTGCGTCGAGGGCCGGCTCCGCCGCTCCCCTCACTCCTCCTCGCTGCGCCCTGCTACTGCCCCCCTTCAGACCCTGCACCTGGACGTTTGGGGCCCTGCCCCCATCACCGAACCGCGAGGTGAGCGCTACTTCCTTGTGCTCGTCGACGACTACACGCGCTACACCACGGTGTTTCCCCTGGAGCGGAAGGCCGACGTGCCCGACGTTCTTCTCCCGTGGGTCGTACCTGCGCGTCTTCACCGCGGTCTCCCCGTGTTTTGTCCCCACTCTGACCGTGGCGGCGAGTTCGCCTCTGGTCGGCTTGGACAGTTCTGTCGTGCGGAGGGCATCACCCAGTCGTACACGTTGCCGGACTCACCACATCAGAATGGGGTCGCTGAGCGCCGCATCGGCTTGGTCATGGAGGTCGCCCGTACCTCCATGATTCATGCCGATGCCCCCCATTTTCTGTAGCCGTTCGCTGTTCGCTACGCTGCTCACCAGCTTAACCTGTGGCCACGCTCCCAGCGGCCGCAGGTTTCGCCGACCCTCCTTTGGACCAGGTCCCCCGGTGACGCGCCTGCGTTCCACGTCTGGGGCTGCCTTGCTCACGTTCGTGCCTCTGGCACGGACAAGCTCACTGCCCGCACTGTCCCCTGTGTCTTCCTCGGTTTCCCCCTGGACTCGTCTGACTGGCTTTTCTACCACCCGCCGCCTCACCGCTTCCTCCACTCTCGTGACGTCACCTCTGACGAGTCTGTCTTCTTCTACCGCCGCTTCCCTCACCGAGGTCTCCCGGTTGCCCCCCCCCTGTTCCTTGCTCCCTCTCCCCCGGTAGCCCCTGCCCCTCTCCCGCCTCGTCCTGCCGCGTCTGGTGTCTCTCACGTCACTCCCCTCCCGTCGGTTGTCCCCGTTGAGGAGTCTGCCTACTCTGGTGGTACCCCCGGTTCGTCCTTGCCACGTCCCCCTTCCCCGGTGCCTCCGCCCCCACTGTCGCAGTCGCGGACCTCGCTGCAGCCGCCGCCGCAGCCGTCGCCGCTGTCGCCGCCGCCGCAGCCGTCGCCGCCCCTGTCGTCGCCGCTCTTGGCCCCTGGGGGTGCTGGTGTTGAGGTGGGTGTTCGTCCTGCATCTTCTGGGGGTGCCGCTGGTGTTGGAGAGGGTTCTCGCTCCGGAGGTGTTGGTTCTGGGGGTGCTGCTGTTGAGTGTTCTGCCGATGGTCGTCCTGCCTCTGCCGGTCCGAGGGTTCCGGCCCAGCCGTCGCCGCCACCGCAGCAGCCGTCACTGCCGGTCTCCGCTCTCCGCCTGCTCGGCCTTCCCTCCCCGGACCGCGCGCCGGTGTCTCCCCCACCGCCTGCTGACCTTCCTGTCTACGGTCCTGTGTTCCCGCCGCCGGACTCGTCTCCGGCCCGTCTTCCTCCTCATTCCCCTACTGTGTCCCCTTCGCCGTCCCCTGACCCTACACCTCCGTCTCACGTTTGGGGTAGCTGCGGTTCGGAGGTTCGAACCTTCAGAGGTTCGGTAGCTACGTTCACCCCAGGCGAGGGAACTGCATCGACGTAAGTGCCGGTGGATCTCCAAGATGCCATCTCCTGCTCCATGGCAGCTATCCACTGCGAGGTTCGGAGGTTCGGTCTTCAGTTCTCCTCCGCACAGCCCACACCTCTACCTGTAGACCATGGGCTCTCCGCTCCTGTTCCTGAGGAGCCCGTAGAGCCCAGTGGCCCCAACGCAGAGCTGGTGGGTTGCCTCATGTTCTTGATGACTTGCACTCGCCCAGATCTCGCATACCCTCTCAGCATCCTGGCTCGCTTTGTGGCTACAGCCAGACACCGACCTCAGCACTGGTCTGCCGCTAAGAGGGTTTTGCGTTATCTTGCTAGTACATCGGGCATGGGGTTAGTGCTAGGAGGACGCAGGCCAGTGGTCCTTACTGGGCACACAGACGCTTCTTGGGCAGACGACTCTGAGACGCTCAGGTCGTCTCAGGGCTACTGTTTTAGCCTTGGTTCGGGTGTTATCTCTTGGAGATCCATTCGCTCGTCGTCTGTAGCTCATTCCAGCTGTGAGGCTGAGATCTACGCTGGTGCCATGGCGGCACAGGAGCTCCGCTGGCTGACCTTCTTGCTCACAGACTTAGGTGAGCGGCCTAGCTCTGCCCCGGTCCTGTACACTGACAACAGGGCCATGATACTCCTGTGTCAGGAGCCTCGGCTTGAGGGCAGAGCGAAGCATATCCAGCTGCAGTACTTCCTCCTGCGCGAGCTACAGCAGCGCCGCCAGGCCCGCGTAGTTCACTTGGCCTCAGGTGCCAACACAGTTGATATCTTTACTAAGGCGCTTGCGCCTAAAGATTATCAGCAGCACTTTGTACAGCTTGGTCTTGTTCCTGTAGCTACTCACCTGTTAGGATCCTGATTGTGTACTCTCAGTTATATATGCCTGTCAGACTGGCCTTGTGGCCTTACCTCCAGTGGCTGGACTAGTAGTGCCGCCCTGGCTTGCTTTAGTTTTGTTTGTATTCTTGCTGACTGGTCTTCAGACCTCTGCCTCAGTGGTTGGACTAGTAGTGCCACCCTGAGCTGTTTGCTTCTTGCTTAGCTTCACCCCTTGTCTAGCCTAGGGGGTGTGACAACTTATACATGTTAGCTGTGTACAAGTTATAGGCTAGACTGGGGTATGTTTCTAATGAGTACAACCAGCTAGTATTTGTTCTAGGTTTCCACTTCTAGTTCATCATTCAGTTCTTACTTTAACAGTCATGTGTGTAGGGTGGGCTCACTACTACCAAGCCTAGGAGGTGTGTCAAATTATATATAAATATATGTATTTGGTTAGACTTGATAGATATGCTATACTACTGAATCAGACTGTAGAGGGAACAACCCACTCCTTGTTACCCTCTCTCTTTTAATCTTCTCATCTTCTCTCTCGTAACTTTTTCTAGCACCTAAAACCTCTCGCCATTGCTATGCCTAGCTTTTAGCTAGCTCCTTACCTACTTTCAAGATGATAATTACTGGCATTTCTAGTGCTTCAAGCAATCGTAAGGCTCGTTATTAAAATTCGGCGCCAATTCCTGAAGGATAATTCAGAATGAGCATCATACTCTTTTTTTCATATCGCTGATTTATCAGCGTTTTTTTTTAGGAAGGCTGAAAATTTCGCCCTTTTTCCAAGGGGAAATGCTGCAAAATCAGCCTAAATGCAGGGGGCAATGATGATAAATGAGCGTGACCCAAAACCAATCTTATGACCTGATGTGGATGCATGATGCATCTGTATAGTATAATTGTTGAAGCATACTTCAATAACAATAAATGTTGTAGGGCTAGTCCGAAAGTTTGTATGCACATGCAGTATCACTAAGTCCATATTCTTAGCATCTTATCGTACTAGATGGGAAAATAAGCAATATCATAGGAAATATCTAGTGCTGGACCTTGTGTCAGCATACACAGTCGATGCCCAGCCTTATCGCAGCTCAACCTGGCGCCCAATCAGAATCCGTTCGCAAAACCCCCGATATACGGGCAATGGGAGATCCGTTTGAGTCACTCATGATTGCGTCTGCGACCAACATATAGCAAGGGACAAGTCGTTGCCGACGAGGCTTCGTCGCCACGGAACTGTGCACCGCCGTCGCCTGATCGCTTCACAATAGTCGCACACTGGCAACAAACATCGCCTCACAAGTCCCCCCCCACAAATACCCACCCATTTCGCCGTGTGCTCGTGCGAAAGCCTCATTTGCCCGTGGCGAGGGAATGCGAACTACATGACTGATTGAATTTTCGGCACCCTAAAATCTTGTGCGACTCTGACGAGCTTCGTCTGTAACCATGTGATTCTGGATATTTGCAGCTCAGGAGGTGAAGTGGTGGTGTCAGCAGTTCCCACGAGGAGCTGTGTTTGCCGGAACCTACAGTCGCGGCAGCGCTCTCTGGAGTGCATTTTTTCAAGAGGACATCCTTGCCGGTGTCAACTCCCCTGGATTTCAGGGGTTTCTGGAGAGCAAAAGCCTGCCCAAATTTTATCACAGCGAACATTCTGCAGTCTACACCGCTGGCCGATGTGAAGGCTATTGCGGGCGCTCCTGGCGGTAAATTTTTCATAAATTCGACCATCGTCCTCCCGAACCGAACCAGAAATATCAAGGATCAAGGGCCAGATCAGCAGCAGGGTGGAGTTCGGTGGGTGGTTGGCAGGCTCATTGTGGATTCATTTCATGGGTGTTGGCTTTGACCTAGATACCACCGTACAGTACGGTAGAGGAAACCAAGGGCTTTCCGCTGCCACTCCTGTCATGCCTTCAGCAAACCCTGCTGTATTTATCCTTCCGACGGCTGCGAAACCTAGGTTCACTCCGCTTTGCTTGTCCCCAGTGTGCTTCTTTCGCAGACCTGTTTCGCACTGAACTCGGTGTTCCCGAAAGCAGACGACGTCGTAAGGGAGACGCGGAGATAGCTAAACGACAGTCGCAAACATCCGCAGAGGTCGAACACCGTTGAAGACGGAGGAAGGAACGTAAAGGCCATCATTTGCGTTTCCTCACTGTGAGCAATCCTGCCAGCCTGGCAACCTAGCTGCACGCCTGTTATTTATTCGGCTCTCGCCTTCGCTTACTCTCTGACGCACGCGCTTAACGCAACAGGCTTAAGCGAGGACAAAGCAGCGGGGAATGCAGTCGAACGCTTTGAGCGTGTCAGATCCAGTGAATCCGGATCCTAGTCGGCGCTGATTGGTGCACTGCGCTGAGAAGTCTGGTAACGAGAAGTTTCCGCGAAAGAGTGGGGGTACGTGACAGGCCGTAGATGCGAAACGTCCTAGAGGCTTCCGTAATGGCTGATGCAGGAAGCGTCGAAATGCAAAACGGTGAAGAACGGTGGAGAGGAGCGGCGTCGGAAGGGGAGGGGGTGGAAGCCAAGCAAGGCGAGTTGAGTGGAAGAGAGGGGGAGAAGCGAGAGGAGCAGCAGGAGGGGCGGGAAGCGCGGGAGGACAACGAAGACGGGGTGAAGGGTGACGAGATGAAAGGAAGCGAGGTGAACGGCAACGGGGTGAACGGCAACGGGGTGAACGGAGACGGGGTGAACGGCAACGGAGTGAACGGCAACGGGGTGAACGGCAACGGAGTGAGCGGAGACAGGGTGAACGGAGACGGGGTGAGCGGAGACGGGGTGAGCGGAGACGGGGTGAGCGGAGACGGGGTGAGCGGAGACGGGGTGAGCGGAGATGGGGTGAAAGGTGACGGGGTGGTCGGAGAGGGGGTGGTGGGCAGTGCGGGGTCTCAGAAGCTGAGCATCGAGGAGGCGACGGAGCGGATATGCGCCATTGCGCGCGGTATCCTGTTCTCGGAGCGGCGGAGAGCGGGCGGTAGGGGGGGAGGTGGCGGAAGGAATCGCGGAGGCGGTAGCGTGGGGCGGAAGGGGCCGGCGGACCGAGGAGCGGAGGGAAGAAGGGAAGGGGAGGAAAGGAGAGAAGAGGAGGAGAGAGGAGGGGAGGAGGAGAAGAGAGAAGAGGTGGTGAAGCGGGGAGAGGAGGCGAGTCAAAAGGAGGAGGAGAAACGAAGAGAGGAGGAGGAGCGAGGTGAGCAGAAGAAACGAGAAGAGGAGAGATTACAGGAAGCGGGGCGAGACAGGGAGAGGGCCATAGAGAGGCTCAGGTCGCTGGCAGGCAGGCCGCCTGACAATTGCTCCGGGGCAGCCGGGGATCGCTCTGGGGCAGCTGAGGATCGCTCTGGGGCAGCTGAGGATCGCTCTGGGGCAGCTGAGGATCGCTCTGGGGCAGCTGGGGATCGCCTTGCTGGTGCTCCTCCTGGCGCTGCTGCTGATGGTGCCAGTGCTGCTGGTGCTGCTGCTGCTGGTGCTGGTGCTGCCGCTGTTGTTGCCAGCAAGAGTGATGATCAATATGATGACGAGGACGATGATAGTGGCAGTGACGATGACGAGGACAGTGCTGACGAGGAGAGCAGTCTGTCTGACGTGGACAGGATCTGCATGCTCGTGCACAGCGATGTCTTTGTGCGAAGGCAAGTGCCCCCTCCCAAACCACCTCCCAAACCACTTCAAACCATCTCTTAACCACCTTGAATGCCGCTTTTCTAGGGTGCGAAATACCTGCAGTCTCTGATTGCCCACCTTCCCCCCCCTCTCCGCTAACCCCCTCCCCCTCCCCTACTCCCCTCTGCTGCCACTCTCTCCCGCCAGGCTCTACCACATTTGCTACATTATACCCACCACCCCCCAACCACTACCCAACCTCCCCCCCCTCCTCTGCTCCCCCCTCCTCTCCTCTTCCCCCCTCCTCTCCTCTTCCCCTCTCCCTCCCCTTCCCCCTCCCCTCCCCCTCCCCCTCCCTCTCCTCCTCTCCTCTGTCACTCCCTCCCCCAAGGCTCTCTACCACATCTGCTACATGGCCGAAGCGTTTGAGGCGCCTCAAAAAATCGACTCGCTCCCCCCTCTCCCCCCTCCCCCTCTCTCCCCCCCCCACCCCTCTCTTCCCCCCCCCCTCCCCTCCCCTCTGCTGCCACGCCTCCCACCCCCCAGGCTCTATCACATCTGCTACATGGCGGAAGCTGCCAGGAAGCTGGGCTTTGACAGGTCAGCAGCAGCGTTCGTCCCTCTGTGCCGCGGGCTGGCGAGTGACAGCGAGCCCGAGATCCGCCAGACGCTCGCCGAGCAGATCCCGCAGCTCGTGCGCGCGTATGCCCCGGTATGTGTGTGCCCCCCACCTTGGTACGTGGCTTGTGAGTCGGCTGACAAGGGGCTGGCGAGTGACAGCAAGCCCTGAGATCCGCCACACGCTGCCCGAGCAGATCCTGCAGCTCGTGTGCGCCTACGCCCCGGAATGCTCTGCACCCGTTTGTCTTGCCTTGCTGCACCCGTATGGCTCTCCTCCACGGCTCCAGTATGCTGCCACTCCATAGGGGCCTGGCGTGGCGAGTGACAGCGAACCCGAGATCCTCCAGACACTCGCTGAGCAGATCCCGCAGCTCGAGTGCGCCTATGCCCCGGTATGATGTATGATGTATGTACTGGTATGGCATGGCCCTCCTTGGAAAGGGCCTGGCGAGTGACAGCACGCCCGAGATGATGAAACGCTCGCTGAGGAGATCCCTCAGTGCGAGCCTATGCCCCGGTACGTGTTGTGTTGCCAGTATGGTCCCACTCTAATGGTCTGGTAAGGCCCCATCTACCCGTCTATCAACCCATGATGGGCGCAGTGAGGTGAATCCGCGGCTGATGGACGCATGCCCCCCCCATCCATCCGCGTAGTCAAGAAACGACCCCCCCCCCTTCCCCCCATCCACCCGTTGACTTGACCCCTATCATCAGGCGGGCAGCAGGGCGTGCGGTGCGCTGATGGAGCTGCTGGGCGTGGCGAACCAGCTGCTCATGGACGAAGCCGAGGAGGTGAGAGGAGAAGAGGGAGGGGTAGAGAACGGTGGGGAGGTGTGAAAGGTGTGGTGATGGTGGTGCGCAGATGGAGCGGATGGGCGTGGCGAATCAGGTGCTCATGGATGAATGAAGCGCAAGAGGTGGGGGTTGGAGAGGGGAAGGGGAAGGAGGGGGGGGGAGTTGTGGGGTTGGAGGGGGGGGGGAGAGTGGTATAAGATTGGAGAAAGGTGAGCGGGGAGGGGATGGCGGATGATGGGTGAGAGGTGAAGGGGAGAGAGAAGTGTAAGGAGGGGAGGATTGCTCATGGCAATCCTCAATGCACTCCTCCCTGCAGATTCAGGGGACAATGGATGGAGGGGGGGTATGGAGGAGGGGTATCCACTATGGTGCTGGATGCTCTTCTGCGCCCGGCACTCCCCTGCCTCTCCGCCCCAGCAGGTGCAGATGGAGAGGCAATGCAGGGGGGGTATGTGGCAATGATGGCGTATGGGGCGGAGGAGGATGCAGAGGTGGAGGCCAGAGAGGGTGCTCGATGCTCTTCCACTCCTGGCTTACTCTTACACCCTTTCTTCCCCAACCTTTCCTCTACGCCCCAGCAGGTGCAGGTGGCGATGGAGGGGGGGTATGTGGCCATGATGGCGTACGGGGCGGAGGAGGATGCAGATGTGGAGGCACTGGTGCTCGATGCTCTTCTGCGCTTGGCATCGCTCCGGCACTCGGAAACCGCACGCCTTTGTGCCGCCACCGTGAGCCAATTGAGCAACCCGTTCTTAATCTTTCTTTCTATCTTACATCCTTGGTGAGTACGGGCTTCGAGGTCGCTACATTCACGTGCACTATTGATCTCTCCCCGGCTCTCGAGGTGACTTTTGAGTCGACTCAAAAGCGTTGTATGATATTGTAACGAGGTGACTTTTGAGTCGACTCAAAAGTCATCTCTCCCCGGCTCTCCTCATGGTCCACTCCCTCCCACGTTTCCACACAACCCATCCACCCCTCCCCTCCCCCCGCCCCCCTCCTCTGCCCCCTTCCCCTTCCTCCCCCTTCTGAAGGTCCTTGTGAGCTGTGCGGCTGTGGTGAGCCGGTCTCTCCTTGAGATTCCTCCCGGTTCTTGTTCCCCCCCTCGTCTGTCTGTCTCTGTGTGCGCCGCCTCCTTCTCTGCAGGCCCTTGTGTGCTGTGCGGCTGTCACGAGCCAGTCCCTCTTTGAGCACCAAGTGGCGTGTCAGTCCTATGCGCTTGCTCCTCCCTAATCCTGCCCCCCCCCAACACCCCCCACCCCCTGTGTGTGTGTGTGTGTGTGTGGGCCGCGTCCCCCTTGGCAGGTCCTTGAGCGCTGTGCACCTGTGACAAGCCGGTCCCTCTTTGAGCACCGCGTGGTGCCACACCTCCTCGCCCTCGCTGCTGACCCGCACTTCCAAGTCAGAAAGGTAAAGTGCCAACTTGCTTCCAAGTCAGAAAGGTAAAGTGCCAACTTGCTTCCAAGTCAGAAAGGTAAAGTGCCAACTTGCTTCCAAGTCAGAAAGGTAAAGTGCCAACTTGCTTCCAAGTCAGAAAGGTAAAGTGCCAACTTGCTTCCAAGTCAGAAAGGTAAAGTGCCAACTTGCTTCCAAGTCAGAAAGGTAAAGTGCCAACTTGCTTCCAAGTCAGAAAGGTAAAGTGCCAACTTGCTTCCAAGTCAGAAAGGTAAAGTGCCAACTTGCTTCCAAGTCAGAAAGGTAAAGTGCCAACTTGCTTCCAAGTCAGAAAGGTTCGCTGTTAGCCAAAGATCATGCCACTCCTCGCCTCGCCTCCCACTGGATTGCCTCGGCTCTCTGCCCTCTCCCCCTCCGCCCCCCTTGTCTCTCACTCTCCCCTTTCTTCCCCTGACTCCGTTTCCCCGCCCCATTCCTCTCTCCCCCTTCGCCTCACCCCACTCTCTCCCCACTCCCTCCTCCCCTTCCCCCACACCCCCCTCCAGGCAGTGGCACAGGGCCTGCCGCACTGCTGCCGAGCCATGGGGGGCAATGCTGCATGCCTGGACGGCTCCCTGGTGAGTGGATAACCTCAACTTCTCACGTCCCCCTGCGTCGCTGCTCGATTCCCTTCTTCTCACGCAACCCTGCCCCAAATGCCACCGCCCCTTGAAAAACCATAATTGCATGGGTAGGGAGAAGCAGTGGCGAAGTAAAGGCCCTGGGTGGGGACATGTTCCTAGCCCATGGTTGCAAACGTCTTTTCTCTCTGTTCCTCCCTCTCTGACCATACCCCTCCCCACACTCCATCCCCCAGCTCCCCCTCTTCGCCTCGCTCTGTTCAGACATCTCCTGGCCGGTGCGAGTGGCTTGTGCCGAGGGCATAGAGGTCACGAGCTTACCTCTTTGCCCTCTTCTTTGCTCTCTCCTCCCCACCCGTGATCCATCCCCCAGCTCCCCCTCTTCGCCTCGCTCTGTTCAGACACCTCCTGGGCGGTGCGAGTGGCATGTGCCGAGGGCATAGTGGCAGTGGCAGAGGCTGTTGCTCAGATCCCCAAGGGCGCCGCTGTTAGCAGTGATGGCGGTGGTAGCGGCAGCGGTGGCAGCAGCGTCGCTAGTAGTAACGGCAGCAGTGGCAGCGAGGGAAGCATGGGCAGCCAGGGAAGCAGCAGTAGTAGCAGCAGTGGTGGCAGCAGCGGCAGCAGCAGGAGCAGTGGGAGCAGTGGCAGCAGTGGGAGTAGGGGGAGCAGTGGGAGTGAGCGTGTGAGCAGCAACGGCGAGGAGGGGCTGGAGTCGGGGGAGGAGAGGAACGCCATTGGAGCAGCAGCTGCTGCTGAAGGAGACACGGCAACAGGAGCTGGAGGAGGTGGGGAGAGAGGTGCTTCTGCAGTTGCTACAGCTGGGGTTGAGACAACAGCAGCAGCAGCATCAGCAGATGTTGGTGCTGGAGCAAGGGGGCGAGAGGCCGAGATCGTACCTCTTGCTGATGGAAGCGGTTCAGGGAGTGCACGGTTTGAAAGGGACATTCAGGCACAAGTGATGCGAGGTGGTGGAAGGAGGGCGGAGCGTGTTGGGGAGATTGAGGAGCTTGGGGATGCTAGTGAGGAGGAAGTGACTGGTGTGAGTGAATCAGGTGTGACTGAGTGTGATGTGAGTGAGGCGGAATCACATGCAGCAGTTGCAGGCTGCAGGGTAGGGGTCACAACAGCAGACGTGGAGGGAAGGGGAATGGAGGAAGGCCGAGGTGAGGAGAAGGGGGGAGGGGAGGAGGAGGGGGATGGTGGGCGAGAGGAGGAGGGGAAGGCCGTTGGGGAGTCTTCTTGGGTGAGGCAGCGCACTCAGCTGATCGGGGAGCTCATGGGGCGACTGGCGAGAGATGTAAGAGCGGTGGGGTGCGGTGTGGTGCGGTGCGGTGCGGTCTGGCGTGGTGTGGTACTACAAGTGGGGGTCAAAAGTCGGGGTGGAGCTTTGTGCAATTGGGGGTAACTAAACTCACCTCCCGTTTTTATCACCTTCTCCTGTGCTCAATTCTGTGCTCAATTCTGTGCTCAATTCTGTGCTCAATTCTCCCTTGCACCCAATTCTCTTGTGCCCACTCTCCCTTGTGCCCTCTACTCCTGCTCTCGCCACCCTACACCCAGCCGTCAGCGTGGGTGCGGGAGGCCGCTCTTCAGATGCTGGGGCCTCTGCTCTCCGTGCTAAGGGGCGCTGACATGCGGGTGAGGGGGGGGGGGGCATGCGGGTGAGGGGGGGGAAATGCGGGTGAGAGGGGGGACTTGCGCGTGATAGCAGGGGGACGTGGGGGTAAGAGCAGGGGGAAGGGGGAAGTGGGGGGGGGGATCAGGGGGAATGGGGGCGGGTTTGAATCTACTCATATTGTCAAATGTTTGGGGCATCTACTGTCTGTGTTGCAGGGCGCTGGTGAGCCCCTCCCCTCACCCCACCCTCAGGACCTGACGCACATGTTCACCCGCAGGCTAGCACTCCTCTCCCCCTTGCCCCACCCCGTGTCCTCCTCCCCTCCCCTCCTCCCCTCCCCCCTGTTCACCGGTTCCTCGTCTCGACTGATCTCTCCGTGCCCCTTCTCCCCTCCTCCCCCCCTCAGGACCTGGTGCACATGTTCACGAGCATGGCACAGCCGGGGCCGGTGGATGCTGACGATGATGACGACCGCCTACCGCTCTACTGCGCCTTCAACTTCCCAGGTCAGGGCTAGCTTAGGGTTGGGGTCAGGGCTAGCCTAAGGTTGGGGTCAGGGCTAGCTTAGGGTTGGGGTCAGGGCTAGCCTAAGGTTGGGGTCAGGGCTAGCTTAGGGTTAGAGTTCTGGGTGTAGGGTGTATGGACCTGTCCCTTTTCTGTGTGCCAGTTGCTTGCGGGTTTGGGGTGTAGTGCAGGGTTGGGCTCTCCCCGGTACTGCACCTTGAAGTTCTCCCCACCCTTCACTGCTCCCCTTCCCTCTGTGTGCTCTCCCCTGTGCGCTCCCCCCGGTGCTCTCCCCCCCGTTCGTTCCCCCCTGTGCCTCGCACATGCGGATGCTGCTGCGGCCGTATTCAGCTGCTCCTTCCACGCCCTACCCGTGCATCTGTGCGCGTGTCTTCAGCCCCCCACTCCTTTCCATCGCCTTCCCGCCCATAATCCCCCCTTCCCCCTTCCCCCTTCCCCCTTCCCCCTTCCCCCTTCCCCCTTCCCCCTTCCCTCTTCCCTCTTCCCTTTTCCTGCTGCACATTCTTCCCATTCCCCTCGCCTCGCAGCCGTGGTGTTGAGTCTGGGCGCCTCCCGATGGGCCGAGCTGCACACAGCATACAGCCAGCTGCTCGCCTCCCCACATGTGAGTAGCGCCTCCCCCCATGTGAGTACTGCCTCCCCCCATGTGAGTACTGCCTTCCCCCATGTGAGTACTGCCTTCTCCCATATGAGTACTGCCTCCCCCCATGTGAGTACTGCCTCCCCCCATGTGGGTACTGCCTCCCGCAAGGTGATTAGCGCCTCCCTGCATCCCCCCATGTGAGTCAAGCTGTTGAGCAGCACGCAGCAGACAGCCATCTGCTCGCTTCCTCCCAGCGTACGAGTCGTGCCCCATCTCCCTGCTTGAGTCAAGTGGTCAGGCTGAATGCTTCACTCATTCGCCTTCTCGAGAGCCAGTGTTTTCAAAGCTCATTATGATTGTATGACATCTGACCGTCTCTGGCTTCTACTCCACTCCCTAGCCATTCATTCACACTTACTCTGTCTGCCCCTCCCCCTGCCCCTTCCCTTCTCCCGGCCCGTTCGTTTCGCTCTCCCAAATCCCTTTACTCCGCCTCTCCTCTCCACCAATCGCTGCGTGACAGCTGGCGGTGCGGCGCACGCTGGCGTGTCACCTGCATGAGCTGGCGGGACTGCTGGGGCCGCGCATCGCGGTGCAGAGCCTGCTGCCGGCGCTGGAGTCACTGGTCACAGATGAGGACGAGGTGGGGGGATGGGAGATAGGCGGGTGGGGTGTGGTGTTGTGGGGTGGGATGGGGTGTGATGGGGTGTGGTGTGGTATGGTATGGTGTGATGTGGTGTGGTGAGCAGTGTCTTGCGGGTGACTGGGGCTGTTGCTGTTGATGTATTGCCGTGCACCGACTGATTCCCATCCACAAGCACGTTGGTTGAGGAGGCCCGGCTTTGTGGATGAGGAAGAGTCAGGGGCTTGAAAGTGGTGAGCAGGTGTAGTAAGTGCTGAGCAGTGAGCAATTAGTGGTTGAAGGATGCTTGGTCCGTGAAATTGCTGGAGTGCTGGTTGAAAGTGGGTTGCATGAAGCCAGATTACTATCTGCCTCCCCTCCTCCCTTCCACTGTCTCTGCTTCCTGCATCCTCGTCCCCCCACCCCGCCCACTGGCTTTCTTCGACTCCCTCCCCCTGTCTTCCGCCTGTTCCCCCCCACCCCGCCCATCCCCCTTCATCCCCAGGAGCGCATGGCTGTAGTCCCCGCGTTCACTGCCTTCAGGGCGTGCCTGCCCGCCTCCCACTGCCCTCACAGCACGCCGCGTCGCCTCCTCCCCTCACCTCGTTCCCCTCCCCCCTGCTTTCCCTTGTGAGCCCCAGGTGCGCCTGGCCCTGGTGCCCACCTTCACTGCGTTCATGGCGAGTCTGCCCGCCTCCCACCGCCCCCAGTGCGCGCACCTGCTGCCGCGCCTGCTGTGGCGCCAGGGGGTGGCGCCCGAGGAGATGGAGGCGCAGGAGAGAGCAGCTCGGGCAGCAGCAGAGGCAGCAGAGGCAGCAGAGGCGGCAGAGGCGGCAGAGGCAGCAGAGGCAGCAGTAATGGCAGCAATGGCAGCAGCAGCAGCAGCAGCGAAGGCAGAGGCAGAGGCAGAAGCAGCAGCAGCAGCAGAGGGAGCAGAGGGAGCAGAGGGAGCAGAGGGGGCAGAGGGGGTAGTTGGAGTAGAGGGAGGAGAGGTGGGAGCGGGTTGCGCTCCAGCTGCAGTGGCAGCTGCCAGTGAAGGCGTGGAGAGTGGAGGCAGGCGACCAGAGGGGCTGGTCGTCACTCCCTTGAACCCACCTCCTGATACGGACAGCCGACGTGCAGAGGGCACTGTTGCTCAAGGCCCCACTAAAGTGGGATTCGTTATCAGTAGCGGTCTAAGCCAGGAGGCAAGTGTAGACGATGATGAGTATGTGGACAGCCCCCGGTACCCCCCTGCTAGTGCCCTCCTGGGTGCTCCTGGGGGTGCTGCTGGTGCAGATGCTGTTGGTACTGTGGATTCTGCTGGTGCTGCGGGTGCTGCTGGTGCTGTAGGTGCGGATGCTGCTGGTGTGAGCGATGGCAATGAGAGAGGGGAGAGGGCGGCTGGGACAGATGGAGAGGGGAGAATCCAGGATGGAGGAGAGGAGGGAAATGAGGGACTGCGAGGGGAGACAGGGGATCTGCACGGAGAGAACCCAGGAGCGGAGCAGCGAGGGGATGAGGGGGAGAAGAAATCAAGTGCCAAGGTGTGGGGAGAAGAGGCAGGATCAGGAGGGGTTAGCTCGGTTGTGGGGAGGAGGGAGGCAGGGGGGAGGGAGGAGAGTACTGGGCTTTGGGCGAAGCTGATGAGTGGATTGGCTGGTCTCGGGGCAGGTGGTTTGCTGGGGGAGATGGCATCTGGGGCAGGCGTGGAGGGTGTGGGAAGGGATGTGGACAGTAAGTGTGAGGGGTCGAGTGTGGGGTTGAGTGAGGGAACCAGGGAAGATAGTGTGAGTGAAGGGAGTGTGGAAGGGAAAGAGGAGGGAGAGGCGGAGGGAGCAGAAGGAGCAGAGGGGAGACTGCAGGGCAAATGGGCAGAGGTGAGAGGGGACCTTGGTGGTGAAGGTGAGGGTGCACCTGAGGGTGATTCTGGTCGGGGTGATTCTAATGAGAGTGATGCTGGCACACGAGGTGTGGCAGCAAATGGATCGCATATGGGCGATTCTGCTGGTGGTGGCTGTGCGGCTGCTCCTGCTGGCAGCCACAGGGGAGCTGCAGGAGGAGCGTGTGGGAAAGAGGGGGAAGAAAAGGGACGGGAGGGAGGAGGCAGTGAGGGAGAGGGAGGATGGAGGGATGGGGAGGATAGAGGGACTAGTGAGAAGGGGGAAGGAGTGAGGAGAATTGGGGAGCAAGGAGGCAGCAAAAAGGGGGAAGAGGGAGGAGAGAGAGAGGGGGAGGAAGGAGGCAGCAGAGAGGGGGAAGGAGGAGGGGGGAGAGAGTATGGTGTGGGTGTGGAGGCGGTGTGGGACCGTGGAGGAGAGGGGACAGGTGAAGAGCCAGGGGATATGAGCAGAGTGGCAGCAGGAGAAGGGAACAGTGAGGCGGGCAGCGAGGGGGATCCAGGGCAGGACGGAAGGGGGAGCAGTACGGAGAAGGTCGGGCATGCACTCAGCACAGCACAGGAGGGAGGGGAGCACGAGCGTCACAGTGAACGTGTTGGACAGGGAGAGCACCAACCCAGAGCCAACCAGCAAGATGGGCAGCGACATGCCAGCAACGCGGATGAGGGAGAGGGGCACCCAACTGGAACGACGCGGCAAGGGGCGGAGAACTACTCTGCCAGCAGCGGTCAAGAGGGGGCGGAGCATGGGTATCCTCCGTTAGGCCCCCGCGAGGGGGGGAGTGAGCGTGGTCCCTCCAGCAGCGGGCAGCAGTGTGGGGAGTATCGGTGCCTATCAGAGAGCTCTCAGAACGACCCCCCTGCGAGCAGTGCGCAGGAGGGCGGGGAGTATCGGCTGCAGGTGCAGGTGGGCACGCCGGCGCCCAACACTGTGCGTGTCCATGTGGCGGCTGCTGACTCGCCGAGGCCTCTGGTGCTGGGCGGCAGCAACCCGAGTGCGCAGCTGAGGACCCTGCCCAGCCGCAACCGCCTGCGGCCGCAGCTGAGGCTGCCAGGGCGGGAGAGCAGCTGGCACCTGCGACTTGCTGCACTCAGGTGAGTGGTGCTCTAGCTGGCTGGGTCAGGAACTCCTAGTGGGTGGGGATCTCATAGTGGGTGGGGATCTCATAGTGGGTGGGGATCTCATAGTGGGTGGGGATCTCATAGTGGGTGGGGATCTCATAGTGGGTGGGGATCTCATAGTGGGTGGGGATCTCATAGTGGGTGGGGATCTCATAGTGGGTGGGGATCTCATAGTGGGTGGGGATCTCATAGTGGGTGGTGATCTCATAGTGGGTGGGGAATTTTTGGCCTCTGGAAAGGAAAGCTAGGGACGACTTGCTGCCTCGTGCTCTCACCCTGCCATCTCGTGCTCTCACCCTGCCATCTCGTGTTTGCAGGTATGTTTCTAGAATCTCCCAGAAAGTCCTACGTCTTGTGCTTGTCGTCTCATGCCTGCCCAGTTCCCGTTGATGCCTTTCTTGCGCCAACATTGATACCCCTCCCTGGCATGAGAAGAATGCCAAGTCCCTGGCATTCTTATCAGTCAGTCTGTCGCCATTCGTCTCGTGTCTTCAATGTTTTCCTCCTCGCCCTATTCATTGACGTTTACCACAGCAGGCCTCGGCTACTCTCCCTATACAAGTACGCCCCCTCCTTTTCCCCCTAGCTTCTCCTCCCCCACCTGCCAGGCCCCGGGCATGGCTCAGCTGCTGCCTCCCAGCAGTGTATCCCTGCCCTCACACTTTGCCCCCTCCCCTCCCCTCCCCTCCCCATTTGTTTCCTTCCACTCCTTTCACTCCCACGCGCCCCTCCTCTCCCCCACCAGCCAAGCCTCAGACGTGGCTCAGCTGCTGCCGCCCAACAGCACCTCCCTGCCCCTCCTCGTTGACCTCGTGCTCACTCTCTGCAGGTAACAACCGGTGCAGGTGATATCTAGTTCAGGTAACATCTGGCGCAGGTACTTTTGATGCAAGCGTCAGCCAGTACACATAACACCCAGTGCAGATAGCTACCGGTGCAGGCGATAACCAGTGCACGTAACAACCGGCTTTGCTCCGCAGCTCCTGTGTGCAGGTCCTATCTAAAACCTCCTGGTTCCTACTCCCCTGCTCTCTTCCTTTATTGTGTTGTGCGGCATCCTTCAATTTTACTCCACACTACCAGGCCACAACCCCTTGCTGCTCTCCCCCTTGCGTCACACACCCTTGCTCTCCCTTCTCTTTCTCCTCCCTCCGCCAACATCCCTTGCTCTCTCCTCTCTCCTCTCCCCTCCCCTCCCCGCCCCTCGCCCCCTGTCCACAATCACCCCGCACCACCCCGCACCACCCCCCACCACCACTGCGACTCTGCCCTCCTTATTGCTGCGCCTCTTCCCCATGCCCCTTCACCATGCCCCTTCCCCATGCCCCTTCCCCATGCCTCTTCCCCATGCCCCTTCCCCATGCCCCTTCCCCATGCCCCTTCCCCATGCCCCTTCCCCATGCCCCTTCCCCATGCCCCTTCCCCATGCCCTTCCCCATGCCCCTTCCCCATGCCCCTTCCCCATGCCCCTTCCCCATGCCCCTTCCCCATGCCCCTTCCCCATGCCCCTTCCCCATGCCCTTCCCCATGCCCCTTCCCCATGCCCCTTCCCCATGCCTCTTCCCCATGCCCCTTCCCCATGCCCCTTCCCCATGCCCCTTCCCCATGCCCCTTCCCCATACCCCTTCCCCATGCCCCTTCCCCATGCCTCTCCCCCATGCCCCTTCCCCATGCCCCTTCCCCATGCCCCTTCCCCATGCCCCTTCCCCATGCCCCTTCCCCATGCCCCTTCCCCATGCCCCTTCCCCATGCCTCTTCCCCATGCCCCTTCCCCATGCCCCTTCCCCATGCCTCTTCCCCATGCCCCTTCCCCATGCCCCTTCCCCATGCCCCTTCCCCATGCCCCTTCCCCATACCCCTTCCCCATGCCCCTTCCCCATGCCTCTCCCCCATGCCCCTTCCCCATGTACACAGGGATCGAATTGCCACCGTGCGGGAGGAAGCAGCCAAGCAGGTGAGGGAAGAGGGGGACTGGGCGATGGGGCAGAAGGGAGGGGGGGAAGGGGGAGAAGATGGGGAAGGGCGGGTTTCTAGTGACGAATTTCACATATTCTCACCTTAAGGATTCTCACCTTAAGGATTCTCACCTTAAGGATTCTCTCAGCTTCGCCTTTCCCCTTGGTTCCTCTTTCTCCTCCCACTTCCTCCCTGCTCTCTTCCCCCTTCTCCCCTTCCTTCGCGTTTCTCTCCGCTTCGTTTACTTCCTAAGTTTCATTTGTCTCCTTCCTTTCCCACTCCCCCGCCTGTCTCCGCTCCCCTCTCATCTCTCCTCTCCTCTCTCCCTTCTCCTCTCATCTCTCCCGTTTCCTCTCATCTCTCCCCTCCGCTCTCATCTTTCCCTTTCAGGCTGCCAAGCTGCTGACCCTCACTACCTTGTCTGCTGCCACGTCAGCATCACTGCAAACAGCCACATCAGTGTCATCCGTACCTGCCACTTCGCCTTGCCACGCATCATTAACCTGCAAACCAGCATTTGCTGCCACGTCAGCAAGACAAGGGTCAGCAGAGCATGCAGACTGTGTTGACTCACGTGCATCCGCCGCGTATGAGCCTGCTGACCCCTCATCTGCCGAACCTCATTCTGCTGACTCCACATCTGCCGAACCTCGTGCGACTGACTTGTATGCTGCCGAGCCTCATGGTGGTTCGGGCTGCAGTGCAGTGTATGGGGATGGTGAAGCAAGGGGAGGCGATGGGGAGAGTGATGGTGGGGAGAGGCAGAGGAGTGGGGAGAGGCGGAGGGATGGGGAGAGCAGTGGCAACAGTCAGCAGGGAGCTCAGGAGGAGGGGGTGCACGAGAGCACAATGGCCAATGTCAGCGGCCACAGTGACCATTGCAATCACCATCGTGGTTCTGATGGTTCTGCTGATTCGCACAGCCATCGTGCTGTGAATGGGCATCATGACATGAACAGCCCTCAGCGCCACGATTGCCACCCCCCTGATCGCTATCCTGTGGACAGTGGTCAGCGGCAGCACACGCGCCATTTGCCTGCAGATGCTGCTAATACCACACACCCCCGCTCTAACTCTTCCTCTTCCTCTCACACTCTCCCTCACACTCACTCTCACTCGCATGCCCATCCTTGTCCTGCCGCTCCCTCTGCTTCCCATCCATCTGCTTTGCACACTGACTCTGACGCCTTGGCGTCTGAGGCGCTCCTATCGGCCTTGGCTCGCCTCGCCACCAGCCGCAACTTCCGAGACCGACAAACGTGACTCCCGACTCCCATTCACCTGCTTTCCCGCTCTTTCCACTCCTTTCCACTGCTTCTTCTGTTCGCCGCCCCATTCCCCGTCTCATTTCTAATCCTGCTCCGTACCCGCGTACTCCCCGTAGTCATTCCCCTTCCTCTCTTCCGCTCAATTTCTTTATTTTCTATTTCAAGGCTGGTGGCAAGGCACTTCCTCTTTGTACCACCCTGACAAACTGCAAGCTTACCCAAGTGTCCCCTCCCTTCCCATCTCAATTCTCTCCCCCTTCCGAGCCTGCCTGCAGGTTCGGCATAGCGTGTACTGAGCTGCTGGACTGCGTCGGCCCGACCCTGGCAGTGCCTTTCCCTCCCTCACCATTGCAGTCCTTCCCTCCTCCCACCAAGCACACACACCCCTCCCCACACACACTCTCCTTGTCTACTCCACACTCTCTAGCTCTCCAAAACCAGGCCAACGCACACCTCCACGCATCCTCTTTCCTCCTCTCAGCAATTCTCCCGCTTCTCCTCCCCCTGGTCTATGTAAGCCGGCTCCTATCCCGCCTTACCTCCCTCCCACTCACTCGTCAGTTTCCGTTCGCATCCAATCACCTCATCCATGGGACTGCTTCAAAGCACTTGGATGCGCATGTATTTTTTGCATGTGCAACTTGAAGCAACGTGTTGCACCGAACAACAACAAGACTTCTGTGTCCAAGCATGCGTACCTTCCGCCGATGCTCCCCTTCCTTCCTCTCACGCCCCTCCTCCTCTGCCCCCCCTCCTCTGCCCCCCCGCCACTTCCCGCCAGGACAACGTGCCAAATGTCAGAATACGAGTGGCTGAGGCTCTCTCTGCCGCCTGGCCTGCACTGGATGCCCTCAGTGTCACAGACCTGTCAAGAACAGCTGACACCGGTATGCCAGCTACATCAGCAGCAGCAGCACCACCACCACCACCACCACCGCTAGCAGTGCCACACATAGCACCAGCGGCAACCGAGCTAGGAACAAACCTAGCAGAGCAGCTTATGTCGGGGGCGCAACCGCAGCCAATACCAGAGCAGGAGCAGGTACCAGCACCGCAGGCACGGCTGGATGAGCTGCGAGTGTCAGTGGCGTCTGCTCTGTCGCTGCTGGAGGGTGATGAGGATGCTGATGTGGCATGGACTGTTGTGGCTAGAGTGGCTTCCCCACACGAGTATGGGATGGGCTAATCGCTTCTCCCAGCTTTGTCCAGCAGCCTAACACCAAACATCAACACAAGGCTTGGCTTGTCTTCCTGTCTCAGGGAATTGAACAAATCTTAGTTGCTGGATGGTAGATCGATTCAATAGTTCACTCTTACCGGTATTGCTAAATCAAGTAAAATGGTAGAATTTTCTTCCATTTGCTGCAACTCTGCTCGTCACAGGCAGGGACGCTCCCACAATGAGCATCTGAAAGTGCTGAAGAGGCACAATTCAGCTAGGGAAATTGGGCCTGGCGTTATGATGTCTACTTAGATTGGTCAAGAAAGGGTAATTGCTCAAGGATAAATGAGGGGAGAAACCGTATACAATACAAAACAGAACAATACAAGCCCAACCCAACCGAAGCACAAATCAACCCACCGAAGTACTAGTATAACCAATCAAATAATGAAGCTCTATTCTGTACATAATTGCAGGGTCTTATCGGGATTTGGGAACTCCTCTAGTTGAGGGGCTCCATTGGGAACTCCTCGACGGGGCTCAGCTGCTTGGCGCGGTGGTACGTGGTGTGTGCGCAATCCACGGCGAGAACCGAGCTCGACTCATACGACCGCGGAGTGCCGTCCAAAAACCCAACCCCCTCCTCGCTGTCAGCCGACACGGGCCTGTGCAGATTCGAAATCAGCCGCTGGAAATTCGCGGCGCGCGCCGCGTGGTCGGTGCGGTAGGTTTGTCCCAGCACACCGTGCACCTCATCGGTGTGCTCCAATTCGACAATTCCGACATTGATGTGCGCCTCGGCGTCATTGGGGGTCTGCAATTTAGGGTTGGCCACGCGCAGCCTCAAGTCAAGCGCCACAAGCCCGTCGATGCTGAGGGTGTAGTAGTCCACGTCATAGGGCCCTTCCTTCTCCAGAGCCGCAAATCGGAGGGTCAAGCCGCCCTCGGATGTCACCTCGTCGCCGACATTCATCCTGGGGATCTCCTCGCCGTCGATCTCGATCGTCTTCATGAATCCGTCGCCGCGCTCTTGCTGCTTACCGCCGCGGGCCGACAGGCGAAGCTTGTGGTCGGCGCCCTTAGCGAACCACACAATACCGAGCTCCTTGATCCACGTGTGCACGGCCTTGCCGTCCACCACGAGCGCGGCGTTCTCGGTATCGTCGCTGTAGTACCCCCTCAGCAGCATGTTCACGTGGAGGTCGCGATCGCTCAGCAGGCAGAACGCCTTGTCGGGGCGGCCATTGAAGTCGAAGTGCGTGCCGAACGCGCCCACGAGATGCGGGTCGTTGACGACGTTGGCGCGCGGGTTGCACTCGCCGCCCGTGCGCACCTGCAGATGCACGGGCTTCGTCTCCGTGGCGTATTGTGCGGTGAGCTCGCCGCACGTGTAATCAATGTCATCGTGCACGAGGTAGCACGCGCCGTCCGTCTTCTTGCCGTCGATGGTGATGTCGGGGATGTACTGCCAGTACGTGCAGCTCTTGTACGCCGCGCAAGTGTTGCAGCACGTCTGGGGAGACGCCTTCTTCAGGGTCAGCGGGTTCCCCTTCACATACATCTCAATTCCGAGCTTGTTCTTCAGCAGGTTCGAAGTCTTCCATTTCGCGGGGATGCCGCCCTTGCTGCAGTTGGCGGGCGTGCACGCGCCTTGCCCGGGCGCGCCGAGGTCCTTGTGGCACTTCATGGCGTTCCACCCGGCCTTCTTCACGTCCACCAGCAGCATGCTGTCCGTCATTGGGCTCACCACCGTCGTGCCCTCGAACTTGTCCAGATTGCCCGCCGCCGCCGCCTGCTCGATGCCCTTAGGGACCTCCGTCGCTACGCCGTTCGAGCCTAGGGCTTTGTCGAGGGGAACTGCGGGGTTGCTGGGGCCTGTGGTGACGGTTTCTGCCGAGGCGCTGACGAGGAGTAGTGCTAGGGATGCTAGGAGAAGAAGACGCGCCATAACTGGAGATGTGCTAGGCTGCGTGAGTCTCGATTCGAATGCTGAATGCGTGAAAACTAGGGTGTGTCGAGTCGAGCTCTGTTCGTGATGTAAAACTCCGATGCTGCTGCTGAGATGAATTTCTGAAGGTGTGACTCGTTGCATTTGTAGCTGTGCTGATTATGATTTGCTGGGGAGGGTAGGTTTGCATGTGGTGGAATGAGAGGGATGGACTGGGAGGGACGCGGGGGAGGCGGTGGCGAGGCGACTCGAGGCGAGGCGAGACGAGGCGAGGCGAATTTCGCCTTAGTTTGTAGGGAGCCGCAGGTCAGATCGAAGGACTGTACTGTAGCCAGAAGGTCGGAAACCTGCCGGATTGATCAAACGGAAGGCGCAGGTGCTATCTTGGTTGTTCTCCCTGGGAATTTCCATGAGAAACTGTCGTCAGTCAGAAATCTGGCCCCAACATGCGGCAAGTCCCGCTCATTGGTGGTAGAACAGTGTCAGAGCAGCTTGTCCACCCCTTACACCTGGTGTCCACAAAATGCCGTGCTCGAATCAGTCCCAATCGGCCTCCTCCTGAATACATCCAGCGCGACTCGAAAAAGTGTGTTCCAGTGTTGGGCTTCAGGTGTACGAAGTTTTATGCGTGTGTTGTGTATTACGCGAGAAAAAACAAGCCACCAGCTCAATATTTAAACAATTTTTATATTCATAACACTTGTGGTTGTACCACCACATTTTAGTAATTCCCAAATCCTGACATGGAATAAAAACATCTCGGCAACATATAGAACATTGCATAGCGAAGGTACCGGTAATCCTAGATCGAAATACAATCTTGTACACAACCAGGTAAAGCATGTTGGATGGTTGGTGTTGGTCGCTTCTCGTGAAAGCACGCTCACTGGTTGTTGGGCTGATCAACACTGGTGTGCAAAGGAAAGCTGGGAAAGCTGTACAAGCTGACTCAAATAATAACACCACAGTGGGTCAACACAAGCATCAACATTCACCAAAAAGACACACAAGACCTGTTTCCACGACAGGCTAGGAGGAGTTCACCAAGGCGGTATTCCCCTGAGCCGCTCAATCAGCAAACCGCTAGTCGCCTCTAACCATGAGCCACACGAAGAGCAGCGGCGCCATGGCCAGGATCGTCCACGGCAGCAGCTGGATCAGCATCTTCTCCTGCTTCGTCTCCACATACTTGGTCTTGGGCATGTAATTCCCAAACCCGGACAGGAACATCCTGTACATGTAGTCATCAAACAGCGACGTCTCCTTAGCTTGTTCCGAGTTGGTTCCAAAGAGCGCCTCCGTGGCGCGGCGCTTGATGTTGGGGTATGGCGCGCGGAACTGGATGAGCGACTCGTACAGGCTCTTGGCCTCGGCGTCGCGCCCCAGCTTCTCCAGGCAGGCCGCCTTCTGCAGCGTCGCCTCCCCGTGGTGGTACGTCTGCTCGCCCGCCTGCTTCAGCACCTTGTTGTAGTGCGTCATCGCCGTCTCGAAATTGCCCTGAAACGAACGGTGGAAGGGAAAGAAGATATGTATGGTTGGTGCGCCAAGTACAAGCGGGCAGCCTGCTACAACACGTTTCTGGCATTCGTCATGGCCTGAAATGATCACATGAAAGCCACGTGGCAAGCAGAGTGCCACGCACAGCGCATGTGGCCAAGGGCGGAGCCACATGTGGGAGAATAGGGCTCGGAGAATGAGGCAGTTGGTTCGTGACACTGCTTCGTGCTCGAGCAACACTGCTTTCTGGTAACTAAGCTTGTGTGAGTGAATCGTCCCAGAACATTCCTTCGCGCGCATGGGAGAGGGCGTCTGGGGTTAGACGTGTAAGTGATAGGAGGGAGTGGTTGGGGGGGAGCGAAGGGGGAGAGGGTGGAGGGGAGTATAAGCGGAGGTGGGAGAGAGAGGCCATATATTTTTGTGGTAGGTAGGCCTATAGCCCGCACTGCAAGTTTTCTGTGAGGATTGGAATCAGATAATTTCTGAAAGCTTAACTACAGTGTCAGGGAGCTCCGTACCTGGTCGAACAGCAGCGTCAGAGGGCGGTCGCACCTGGTCGAACATTATCTTTCAGAACTTGAGCTCGTGGTACAGGTGCGCTCTCGCCGCGGAGACTTCTGAGTCGACTCAAAAGTCATAAGTGCGTGTCAGGGAGCGGCGTACCTGGTCAAACAGCAGCGTTAGGGAGCGGCGTACCTGGTCCAACTGCGGTGAGAGGGAGAGGGCGTACCTGGTCGAACATCATCTTTCCGAACTTGAGCTCGTGGTCGAGATGCGCTCTGGCGGCGTCCAGCTTGAGCTTCTCCTCGCGCTCTTTCAGCTCCTTCGCGATCTTCTTCTGCGCCGCCGCCAGCAGCCGCTCCTTCTCCTCCTCGCTCACGTCGTTCTGCGTGGACACGAGGAGCGGAAGAAAGGAGGAGGGAAACGAAAGGGGGGAATGAGGGGAACGGAGACAAAAGAACGTGAGAAAATGCGAGATGGGGAACCGAATCATAGCTTTCTCCTTCTTTCTTTTTTTGTTATGGTCGTAAAAAAGGAGAGACAAGATTATCATGCGGTTCAGTTCCCACGGGCTATGAGGCACCTGAAAACATCGGGAGCGAAGAGCAAGAGGGGAAGCGCACGGAAGACATACAGGATTGACAGGCGTTTCAACTCGTGTAACATGCATTTTTCGCAGAAATCTCATGAACATACAAGGTTAACATGCGGCTCGGTTCCCATGGGCTTGCCCCTTGCGATTCCGGTCGACCTCGGGCGTGTCGCAAGCGCGTCGCCACCGCTGATGGGCCGAGATGGAGGCGAGGCTCTGAGTGGTCGGGATGCGGATGAGCTCTCCGCCTTCGCCACGACTACCGGAGCGAGCGTGCGCTGAGGTAGTATCGTTGCCGTGCACGCCATGATGGGAGCGCGCTAGTAAGGCTTCTGAGCCTGCTCGAGCCTGCTTTGCTTAGGAAGCTGGTTGAATTGCTGGTCGGTTATTGACCCTGAAGGAATCACGCTGAGGGAGGACGTGAAGGGACACGGTACGCAGAGCATAAAGTTGAATCAGCAAGCTCGAATGAAGAAATGCTTTCTTGAGGCCTGGATTCTGCCATGAAATACACCATGGCAGAGCAGGCGTGCTGGTTGGGGCTGGCAATTGAGGGAAGTAGGTGCGGTGACAGATTTTGGTTAGGCGGGCAAAGCGTGTACAATGCCGAACACTTGTTTCACGAGTCGCTTCCGGAGCATTCTGGGATCGTTTCAGATGCGAAATGGAAACGATTGGTTGCCATGTTTATTTTAGTCTGCCAGTGTAGGAAATGCAGTGGCATCCAGCGGATTGCACCTGGCGTTCAAAATTACTCACGGAGATTTTCAGTGAACAGTAGAGCGGCCTCGTGACAGATCGGAGCAGGCCAACTAAGTGGTTCGGAATGCGGTTTAGCGTCGACGTGTTTATCCCAGCAAGAAAGATCTGGCACGAATAGTTGGCACGGATTTCCATGGAACTCGGAGAAAAAGATCCTCCCAGAAGGCAGATACACGTCAGCAGTGACATGATGGCAGATGTTTCTGAATCAGCACGATGTTCCCCACACGCGGTACTTCTAGGGGGGAGGACACACCCAGAATAGTAAAACTGCATAAACTCTACATTATTGAGTCGCTTCGTCCAATTTAGGGTTAGCCTAGCAATAAACATGTACAATCTGCCGTCAATATACAAAGCTAGAAACGAAATATTACGCAGCTGGAGGCTGAACAGCATATTAGGTCTTCCCCTGGCCTGGAATCAGAGAAATGCTATTGGCGCATCCATTCCTTACAGCATCATCTCTCCTGCATGGGTCCGAGCGTGCTATTGGGCTTGCCTGGCCCATGGGCCAAGGACGATCGCGAGCCGTCCGATCACTACACGACCAAGATCGGCGGCCTACCTGTAAGCGATCCTGATACCTTCCATGCGTTGCTCGACGGAATCCGTCTCGATATCCGTCTGCCTCCGTTCAGAACCTTCTCCTGATCACCCAGCGCACCACCCATGGCTGAAAGACCCGAAAAAGGGAAACCTTTTCTACTTCCCATGGCCGCCGCTTCTGACAATGCGGGTGTCGGCGCCATGGGAAGTAGAAAAGGCCCGCCGCTTTCGCTTCGCCTACAGCCCATTTCGTCCGCTCTCCCCTCTCCCCTCTCTCCCTCCCTGCATCCGTCCCTGCGCTTCGCCCTTGCGGTCCCTGCGCTTCGCCCTTGCGGTCCCCGTACTGCCCTGAACCCGTACTGCCCTGAACCCGTGACGGCTGCCTCTAAGACTCCTCACGGCGCCCGTCCGCCGCAATCCCAGCTCTGGATACCTCCCCCAAGCTCCAGGCGCTGAACCCTGAACCCTGAGCTCGTTTCTGTTCACCTGCCGCCCCGTCCGCACGCTCCCAACTGAGATATTGCCGGCGTTGGGCTTTGCGAAAGACCCTCTTCTTGCCCCAAGCGCCCCCTCCCCTCCCCGAAACCCTGCAAAAGCCTTTCCAGATCCTTTTCTGCAAGACCTTTTCTTGTGCATGGCGAAGGACTTCCCCCCTGGGCGACCAGCCACCGTCACATGTTCTCCAATTCTCTCTCTCCTCCCCCAAACCCACCCCCCCCACTTTCCCCCCCCCCCCCCCCCCTCCCCCCCTCCCAACGCCCCCTTCACCCCCTCACCCCCCTCACCCCCTCAACCCCCTCACCCACCTCACCCCCCTTCCTTATTGCCTGCTTCTCCCTGCCTCCGCCTCTCGCCCGTTCATGCGTCAGGACTGGCCCCCCTGGGTGGCTCACCCACCGCCGCAGCTGCTCAAGTGCTCCCTGTGCGATGGGCCGCTCTCCCTCGTGCTGCAGGTGCGTGCGGCGTGTAGTGTAGGGCAACCAGGTGTGTGCGGCGTGTAGTGTAGGGCAACCAGGTGTGTTCTCACGGGAGATTGCTTTTCCCAGGTGTCTCTACTGCTCATCTCGCTTTATTCCTCCGCGCACTTGTCTCTTTCCGCACGTCCCTTTTGCTGCTCTTCTAGCTTTATTACTGCCATCCCTCACCTTCTCCTCCCCCCAATCCGCCTTTCCCTTTCCCCTTGACAGTCCTTTCCAGTTCCCCTTCTCCCTCCCGCCCCCCTATCCTCACGCCGCTGCTCCGCTCTCCTGTGAGCGTTTCAAGCGCCATATTTTCCTTTTCTCCTTTCCCTTTCCCTTTCCCCTTCCCTCTCCCTTTCCCTTTCACTTTCCCTTTCCCTTTCCCCTTTCCCCTTTCCCTTTCCCTTTCCCGCTCCTCAACCTGCAGGCTTATGCACCGCTCTCCCTTCCCTCAGCAGCAGATGCAGCAGCAGCAGGGGTGACACGTGGCAGCAGGCAATTGGAGGAGCGGGTTCTCTACATGTTTGCATGCGCCAATGGGGGAAAGGAGGGGGAGGAGGCTGCTTCCGCGCCAACCCCCCTTGGGGACCTCTCATCTGTGTTTGGGGACGTGGTGGTGGGGGAAAGCGCGGGGGCAGGGGGAGGGGGGGATGTGGGGGAAGTGGCGGAGGAACTTGGGGGAATGGAGCTGGGGGAGGAAGGCGGAGAGCAAGAGGGGCAAGGGGAGGGGCAGCAGGAGGGGGCGCAGAAGGGGACGGGAGAGGAGCGAGGGGAAGGGAATGGGCAGCAGGAAGGGGCGACTCAAAAGTCACCTAGGATGCATTGGGTGAGGGGAGGGGAAGGAGGGGCGGCAGGAGGTGGGGGTGGAAGGAAGGGGCCGTGCGCTGCACAGGCGGAAGGGTAAGGGAAAGAGTTGGAGAAAGGTTGCTGAGGCGCATGATTGTTGCTGAGGCGCATGATTGTTGCTGAGGCGCATGATTGTTCCTGAGGGACAAAGATGCGCAGGGGGGGGGAGGAGGGGTTTGTGCATTGGAGGGTAAGGAGTGTGTTGGGGGTGGGGAGCATGGTGTGGGGAGCATGGGATAGGGGGAGAATGTTTCGAATGGGGTGTGCGTGCATCAACAGAGTGTGCATGTCGCTGCCAATGGGTGCGGGGGAAGATGCGCATACTTTTGCACGGTGGTCTTGCTTGGGCTTCGTTCTTTCCTGCATGCAGGCGCCTCTGTGTTGCGACAGGCTGTGCTACAAGCGAAAGGCGCCGCTGGTGCGGCCGCAAGCAAGAAACGCAATGTGGAGGCGTTGCTCTGGTTTTTCCCAAGCAGAAAGCTAATCAAAGCATCGTTCACCGTAGCAGCGTTCGTCAGAGCTAGTCGCATCTCATGCAGGGACGTTTACTCTCAAAGCTGAGACCTTTCCCCGTTTTTCCCGTGGCCAAGCTCTTCCTTTCCCAGTTCTCTCTCTGCTCTCGTCATTTATTCTCTCCGCCCTGCTCCCTGTGCTCTTGTTCTATCCTTCCTCACCTCCTGTTGCCCTGGTCTCTGCAGGTGGCGGATCATTCGCATGCAGCAGCTCCCCTCCCAGCAACCGCCGCCACCACCACCAGCACCAGAACCGGCACAAGCAGCAGCAGCAGCAGCAGCAGCAGCAGTGGCAGCCTCCACATGGGCAGATGCGAGTCCCTGGGATGCTGGCAGCACAGCAGCGGGAGATAACTGGGGGGCTTCCAGACCCAGGCTCAGGTGCTCCAGGTGCTCTTTCAGGCGTCTTTGCCACACCAGGACAAGATGTTGGTGTGGTAGGAGGAGGGTGGGGCACCGGGACATGTGACAGTAACGAATTCGGTTCCACATTACAAGACGCGCCCCTTTCCTCACTAGACGCTCTGACAGCGTCAATCAGCGCCGCCGCTGCCAGGGCGGCTGCTAGCACTGTTGTGGAGAATCATGCAGTGGGGGGAGGAAGGGAGGTGCAGGCAGAAAAGCATCCCCAGGCGCAGCAGCAGCAGCAGCCGCACCAGTGGCATCAAGTACGAGTGGCGCAACGCCAGCTGAGACTCTTCCTCTCCGTGTGCTGCCGTGCTTCTACCTGTTCTCCGAGGACGAGGAGGCGACCAGCAGAAGCAAGAGCAGGGGAGCAGCGGCCTCACCAGCAGCAGCAGCAGCGGCAGCAGCAGCTGAAGCATGTGGCTCCATAGACAGGGGGAACGGGCTGGCAGGGATGCAGGTGGAGGGGGGGGTGGGGGAGGGCGAGGCGTGGGAGGGCGAGGGGTATGAGTATGACCAGGCGCGCACCGTGGGTCGGCCGTACCTGAGGTTCAAGAAGCGGCTCGACAAGCACCCGGAGCAGTGCGTCAGGTGCGGTTGACAGGCGTGTGTCAGGTGTGTGTCAGGTGTGTGTCAGGTGTGTGTCCGCTGCTCCTTTCCCCTCCGTCTCACAGCGCCCTCTGCCCAACGAGGTACCGCTTTAACGGCCAGCCCATCCGGCCTTGCGCCCCACGCCCGCACCTCCCACAGGCGTCCAAACACTGCTCTTGCTGCAGCACTCCCCGCGTGTGTTTACGCTGCAGCTCATGCCGCTGCCTCTCTCCCCCCCATCTCACAACTCTCCCTGCCCAACCAACCAGATACCGCTTCACCGGCCTGCCCCTGTGGCTCTGCGCCCCAACACCCACCTCTCGGAGCCGTATGAAAACTGCTCCCTCTTCGGAGCCCCCCGCGTGTTTGAGCTGCAGCTGATGCCGCCGCTGCTCCTCTTCCCTTTTCCATCCATCCCCACTCCTCCAGGTACCGCTTCAACGGTCAGCCCATCTGGCCCATCGCCCCCACCGCCGCACCTCCCACAGGCGTCCCACCACTGCTCGTTGTGCGGCGCCCCCGCGTGTTTGAGCTGCAGCTGATGCCGCCGCTGCTCTTCTTCCTCCTGGAGGCGCTGAGAGAGCGGCAGGCGGAGGGGTCTGAGAGGAGCGGTGGGGTGGGAAGGGTGGAGGGCGGTGGAGTATGGGGAGCTGGGGGAGTGGGAAGTGGATGACTGTTGCTGCCTTCACCTGCTCGCAGGTGAGTGTGGTGGGGGAGGCAGGGGTTGTCGGTGACGAAGTGGGGGAATGATGGAGTGAGAAAAGCAGAAAAGGAAATGGTACAGTGAACAATGATAAGAGGGAGAATGGTGGATTGGAATGGAGTGGGCTTGGCTGCGGATCAGAGCGTGCAGTGGTAGGGGTGGGAGAACGTAGACAACTGCTAACGAGTGTGTATGGTTGATTCAACTTCCTCATCTCCCCTTTTCCACACAGGCTTG